GATAAATTTAATATAGAGCTTTGTGGCAATCCTCCACATAGTTTCTCAAACACTCGAAATAGACGAAACGCAAGATTATAAACCGCATTAAAAATTTGACAGGCAAATTTTTTTAATTTATTAATTTATTTTGTCGATTTATATTTGAATATATTATTTGTCGTTGAGTTGTCGTACTTTCAAAAAAGATCCGACATAGGTATATAGTATATTGACAAACATCGTCGATGGTTGATCGATCACGTGTTTGAGTCGTGTACACTTTTTCAAATGTAACTTGTTGATCCTCGGTAGACTTAATTTCGTACAATAATCGCACATACAGCCATCCAACAACGCGAATATTTGTAGTTTTACATACTGTAATAATGTATACAATTGTAATTAAAATAAAACGACAAGAGACATTTCACCATATCTGGAGTCTTTGTAAAATTTAAAAAAAATACAAATTAATTTTTTAAATTAAATTATATTAACAAAATGAGAAATGTATTTCAAAATAAGCTGAAATTAGTTAAGAGTTGACATGCGGAAACTCATGCACTGTTCCAGCATCATTTCCTCTCGTGTTCATGCTGGAAAGACTATAACACGCGTGCGAAAATATTTTAATGTCGGTATAAACCTCTATACAAGCTTTATTAGACTATTATAATAAGTAGAGTTTTCGTGGTCGTTTTCATCCGTTATGAACGTGGCGTCCGGCCAAAACTATCGAGTTTTCTCGATGCCGCAGAAGTCGGTTACCACAGAACCACAGTCCGACGGCATTCGCGCAATCCAGCTAAAGTGGTCTGTTCCCTTTATTTCCGCTCCGATGCATTCCGAGCGAGTGCTGGTCGCGTTGTATAAGTTGAAATAATGTTTCCTCGCGTGCGCCACGACGACGATGTGACCCTTGCGATTCATCGATATTCTAGACAGTCAGCTTTCTTGAGATTCCCTTCGCTAACGGTACATGTACTGCAATCCATGTTACAATCCAGTGCTCTCTCGCCAGAAAATAATTCTTCATCGATATTATGAATCCGTTTCTGCCACAATATGGCCACATACAATTATTTGGATAGCTGATCAAATAGCGCGACATTAATTAACGTGTTAATTAAGCTGTCTCTTCTTCATAAAAAAATTAAAAAAATCTTCGAAATTCGAATTGATTCATCTTCAGAAAACTGCACGTCAAGATTAAAAGTTTCTAAACGGTTGATTCTTATGTTCAAATCGATTTACATATGAAACAGACATTATTGAAATGACAATGCACTTATTGTTAGCGTTAAATGTATCGTGAAAATGCCGGAATTCAAGGAAATCTCGTGGGTTTCCTCTCACGAAAGGTTTGCTCGAACATATGAAACCGGACTAAACCGAAACGATAACGGAAACGATTCGATACGCTCCGTTGCGGAACGAAGCAAAACGAGGCGAGGCGATATTAAAAAATTTCTGATCTAAAGTTTCAGGGCGGGTCCAAACAAATTGAGTAACCATTCTCGAATAACTCCATCTGGTAGAAAATTTTTCGAAAGCTCGAACGTTTCTACATGAATTTCTTTGTCTGTGATAGCTGTAGAAGCCATCGTGAACGACCGTTTTCTCCAGAATAATTTAAAGCAAATAATAAAAAATTGCACAGCCTTTGATAACTGAAATCCGACAAACATTTTGACGTGTTAATTGGCACGAATTGATCCTGTATGTTTTCCATATTCAATAGCGCAGCGACTCTCGTTAGCACGTCAATTATATCGTAACGTGGGACGAATGTACGCGGGCGGGTATGGAAATTAAACTGCCACCTAGAACACATCGTGACGATAGAAAATTCTACGATGGCTGCGGGCCAGCTCGCAATCCCTCGTTCCCGGTACCGCAAAATTAAATCGCACCGGCGTTTTAATGTCGTTCGTAACTCGCGCGGGACCTCGAGAGAGATATGCTCTTTGTGCCCGAGGCCCGTGGTGCAGAAATAACCGGCGTTATCCGTGCGTCCCGACCCTTGAGTCACACCGACCATACGAAATGGCATGACTTTCCAAGAGCAGTCTTAGTCATTCATCGTGGAGGAAAAGAGACAGAGAGTGAGAGAGAGGGAGAGAGGAGAAAGAGACGCATTTTCCGACTTATGTATGTCACCCAGCGTTCGCGCCTTCCTCCACCGCACCTGCAGACCGCGTTCCACTCCATTCTAAAGAACCGTTGACTGCAACAGCTGTTTCACACGACGCATCCAAAGTAACCAATGATACACAATGAAAACAAAATTTGATATGAATACGCGTAAGCATACTACGAAGCACGATTTTATATGCTAGACTACGCTCGTAGTTTTTCCCGCTTCTATTTCGTTAATTAATTCTATCCGTGTGGAAATTTCACGCTATAGGTTGCAAGGAAATAGCGCATATTTTTAATTAGGAACGAACTACCGTCACGCCGGCGCCACTACATTTACTTTACTCCGCGGCATTATCAACTGAAATAGCGTGTATCTCGTTTAATGCGCAGGAAATTCGCGACGCATTGCAGCTGATAGCAATACAATTTCATAAATAAAATTGAACAGAAAGCGAAAGCATACATCATTAAAATATTCGATCAGGATCGAATATATAAGAAGCGAACAAATTGATAATATACATCTCATGTAATAATTTGATTTCGACTGGATCTACGTACCTAGTAGGTAGGTACGTGTTTCTGAGCTTTGTGTAGATATGCATTAGCGGACGCTGTCGCGAAACTGAATCCAGTATTATCGGAGATCGTACCTGTCCGGATAATCTGAGTCGTAATGAAGCTGCAGTCACCGTAAGCCAACGAGATCGTCTGGCATAGCTGCCCTCGTGCTCTCGTAATCGCGATACATTTCATCTCTCTCCGCTCGACATTTACATTAATCCGATATACAACGATATCGATGAGAAGCGTATATTTTCATTCTCTCTTTTCCGATAGGAAGCATTCAAGGGTGACTCTCGTCGGTTGAAATCGAATCGCGAATTATGGCGGATCGACCGCGATGAGACGACAAAACATGAAAGAATAAACCGGAGCCTCGTGTTACTCGTGGAGTAACTGAGAGACGGGATGCGAAAGTCGAACCGTACGCATTACTCGATACGACGAATGCGAACAGTGGCATGACTCATCGAGGTTCTAATGAACTCTTGAAACGATTTTCCGGTGCTTTGAAGGAACCAGCATTATATGGGGTCTACGTCTGTTTAAGTTTTTTTTTTTCGCATGAACCGAAGTCAAATGTGAAAATAAACCAGGATGTTGACAAAATAATTTTCTATGGAAAGTAAACATCGCGTTTGTTCGAATCTGGAAGAGATCCAAACGGGAAGAGAGTAAAATTTCGTTTCGAATAACTTACGGAAATTTTATTATGCGGAGGTGAAATATTGTTTAGAACGAGAAAAGAAATATTTCAAACGAATGGCGCCTATAATCTTTTACCGTTTTATTGACTGTGGTAATATTTTTCAATGAAGAGATAATTTTTAGAATTTTGTCGAAGTCTTTGACGATGTCAAAAGAAAGCAAATAAACGATAGTTATAAATGAAGAAAAATCAGTTATCCCATGTTTGTGCATAGCGACACGTACAAAATAATTCAATCGCCGAATGTTTGCACCTTAACATCCGCTGCGTCGCATTTTTCTTTTTCTATATCTCACGGAAGACATAATGAACCAAGTCATCGTGCAGTTAAAAATTACTTAACACGTTGTTTAACACGTCGTATCTCTCGAGTATGTTTAACACACCCCTACATAAACAGTGTTGTGATATCTCAGTGACAAAAATATCTTCAGATAACAGATTTAGCTGTCGAGTGGGTCAAAGGTGCCTGGAGGAGCCGGATACACTCACATGCATCACGGTAAATAAAGCTCCGGTTTAAAAATAGAAACGAATAAATAATTTCTAATAAGCGCGAGAAAGGATATCCTTCCGAAATGAACGAAAAATTGGAATGGCGCTGATATTTATTCACAGTATTTATTTATGGATCGTCGAAAATTTATATCTCACGAGGATTTTCCAAAGTCAGATTTTACGAATGGCTGCGAGATTCGGATTATCATTCGCGGGCTGGTTGTTGAATATTTCTACGTCCTGTATTTTTCAACGATTTTCAACGACGCACGGCTGTTTTGCAGCCGCAGTATTGAGGACATACAGGGTATCTCTTTTTAGAAAGCTTATCACAATCTAGATATACTTTCAGATATGACGTCGAGAGAAACTGAAAGAGATGTTGAGAAGTCCAAGTCACATACGATCAGGCTAGCTCAGGAAATATCCCGACAAACTGACACTGAGATAAACTCCTATAAATAACTGCCAAGAAGATATATAAAATCAGTGAAAATGTTAATATCTCAACTCAAATGAAACTCTATTATTTAATGAGAATAAATTAACGCTTTATGATATTACTTACCTAATCATCCTTAAAAACTATAAACAAACAAAATTTCTCCTTTTCATAACTTACTAAAATAAATAAAATATCGTTATCTCACAGAATGCTATGTGACATGAATTTCTAAATAGCTAAATGATTTGAAGATATTATAAATTTTTTTAATGAGAAGACTATCTTCTTTGTTCTATGGCTTAAAATATAAGATTATAATTTTTGATAGCGTAATAATTCTAGACAAGACTGTTGTAAATCATGCAAAGTCTTAAATAAGGAAACGAATACATATTTATTACGCTTCCAGAAAACGATCTTAGTCAGTTGCCTTGTTATGATACGCATTACGCAACCAAGATGTAAATCTGGATAGAGAAGGCGAATGACGAGGCTCACGGCCTTGGCACAATGTCGATGCTATGCAGCGTTGCAATCTTCTTTAATTGCTTGTTAACGTGTAAATCGTTCGCAAAACAATAAGAGTTGCTCTATAATACCACTCTATAATATCAAACTCTATAATACTATATTCTATCTTTCATTTTGTTTTCATTTTAGAATGTGGAGCTGCTGGAAGGAACCATTCCGCCGGAGGCAACGGAACTCGAGGTCTCCCACTGTCGAGAACTGAGAATACAAGCGGGTGCGTTTGGCGGGGGCGCACCCCTGAAACGTGTACACGTTTCGGGGATCAACAGCCTAGTCGCCAAAAGGCAGGCCTTACAAAATCTCAGCGCACCCAATACGCATTTCGAAGTGTCGGAGTGCAATAGCGTGTTCCTGGAGAGTCACGCTTTCCGGAATACGCGCGGCACGCTGAGCGTCTCGATATCACGATGCAAACACGTAGAGATAAAACCAAATGCTTTCTCGTGGCTGCTGTGGCTCAAGGTGAAGGAGGTGTCGTCCTTGGAGCTCTCCAGCAATGCCTTTAAATTCGAGGCGCCTCAATCCGGTCGACATGGACCAGCGACCAAGGTCGGATATCTCTTGAATTAATCGCGTATCGTTATTACAAGCTAGTTAAACAATGCTCATCTATCTATTTTAGTTTAAAAATTATAACTATGCTATTGATATTGATGTGTTTACATGATATTCGCATCCCAGTTACATTATGCTATTCATTTCTGATATCAGATAACATGTCAATATAAACAAATTATATTATATAATATTATTTGTAATGTTCCGTTTTGAATGTCACTTTAAATGAAGCTCGGAGCGATTCGTAATAATTTCTATTGATATGAATTGTTTAATTAGATCTAAAAATCCGCAGATAATTCTTAAAGCGGCCATTTCTCGGAAACATAATTACAGTTTCGTATAAATTTGCATTGATACAGATTATGTTCCAAAATGTGATGATAAAGGAGTTACCCACGTCGGTTTTTCCTTCGGCTGTCGCGGAAATTCGCATGGACGACATTTCGATGAGGACCATACGCAAGGACGCCTTTTGTGCCATGACCATCTTCAAAGTGATTATTAGCAACACGTCTATCCAGGAGATTCAGTCCGGTGCTTTTAGCGACAGAGCGCTTATCCAAAGCCTCGAATTTGTCGATGTACAACTTCAGAATATCAACACGGCAGCCTTCAGAGCCGGACATGATAATCTCACGATCCAACATTCCAGGTTGTCAACGTTAAATTTACTTTACTGATCCTTACTGCGATCGTAGCAGAAATTCATAGAAAATAAAATGAAAATTCGCAAACTTTTTTCTGAAAAATAAAATTAAAGTAATATTCCTGAGTTAAATTTTTATACTTTTCAATTTTTATTTCTTAGTTATATTATACTTCAATTTCTTAATAGGTATGTTTAATTTCTTAATATTTTTTTATTGATATCCGCTTTAACCTTTTTTTTCTCTTGTATTTCTTTCTCCATTTAGATTGTCCGAGGTAGACACTGGTGCCATTAATACATCGGCAGCAACTGTCACCCTCAACAACAATGAATTCATACATTTAAAACAGGGCTCGATCGTGCTACATCAATGGAATCACATAGCGATTGATCGTAATGTCTTTGTCAATCTAGAGAGCGACGCGATTAAAGCGGAGGTCAGTGCTACTTCGGCACCCAATCTCGAATTCTCCTTCACGAACAATGAAATACAGAAGGCATGGTCGGGATCTCTCAGATTTGCAATGTTGTCGCAGAAAGTGAACTCTGCGCGCGTTGGCAACAATTACTTCACTCAAGAAGAGTGCAGGTGCAATCTTGAAAGTTGGATGAGCGAAATAACAGGCGGTAACAATTTATGGATGATGAACTCCAGCTACTGTAAACTCGATGACTTCCTGCAAAAATGCTTCAATCCACCCAAGGGCTTCATGGTTATGCAAAACTTCACGCAGCTTATATGTACGGAACGGAAAAAGCACGTCGACTGCGAGAAGTCGTCGCCTAAGCCAGAGCCAAGCGTTAGTCCACCCAGCGTGGGTCCTCACATCTATCCAAGGCAAAAGGGATTCTTCGACATGGAGATGAGCGAGTTGGAACAGCTGGAACGCGAGAAGAGGGTCATCGTCATTGTTTGCATCGTAGCGGTCTTTGTCGTCGTTGTGGTGATCTTAGCCTCAGGAATTCTCTATATGCGTCGTCGCGGCGTATGTCCCAAACTAATATCTGGCTCGCTGATAAATCTGTCAAATTGGCTCTCGTCTAACAACGGCATGACCGCCGCGACGTCCGCTAGATCAATATCGAGACTAAGCGTTCACGAATATGCCGGTCTCCAAGCGGAGACCAGAATTCTTGAAATCGACACTCCGGCAGAAGGTACGGAGGACGACGATGGGGAAGGTGACGTTTACCCGTACACGGAGAACAAGGCTACGCAAACGTTGCCGGAGGAGTTGACAGAGGAGTACCTGAGGGATCTTCAGGAACGACTGAACGATCCTGACAATCACAGCCAGGCGAGGGACATGATCGAGCACTTATACGATCTCATCAAAGTCGAAGAGAGTTGCAACAATAACAACGATCGGCAACCGGCGGGCGATCGAGAAGAGAACGCGTACGACGTGATCCAACCGAAGATCAGAAGACCTCGCGGAGCACCGAGACCATCCGTAAATATTGGCACCAAAGCACCATCTTTGGATAAGTTGCATCCGACTGAGATACGTACCAGACCGCCCATCACCGAATACGCGCAACCGCGTGATCAGCGTACCACCGATCAAAATCATCTATACGCCGAATTGCCGGGCGACGAAACAGTGCCCAGTACAAGTCGACTATCGCAACCGATCCTGGAGAGCTTGATCGGTAGAGCGCCACAGCCGTTACCACCGGACGTGGTGAACGATCATCTTGTCGGCAACAATCGTCTTCCACGGAACCTCGGTTACGATGCTGATGATCGCAGACCACCGCAAAGCCCAAAGCTGGATTCGAGCTGCAGGAATCAATCCACTAGGCCGATGAGCTTCCTCAAGGCTCTCGGTGACAGTATTTTAGGTGCTTCGAACAAAACGAACAATAAGAGGCCGAATTCGTTGCTGTGCGAATACGCCGAACCGTCTGACGTAACTGCCCATCTTTATTCAGAGCTGCCAGAAACTCAGCAAACTTCCGCATCTACTAGCAAAATGGCGAACAGGCCACTGCCCACCAAGCCCGATCAGGATTCCGTCGCCACAAACGCGGCCAAGGCGTAATGGCGCCCATTATCTGTGATATAAGTATTATGTGTTGTCGAGAACGAAGATTAAAGTGTCCTTTCTTTTTGCCGACTGTATGAGGAAAGTGTTCGCGCACATGCGTGTGTTTGCCAGAACGATTGCGTAAGAGAGTTTCCGCCAGGCGAAGACGCGGGTCGCCTGGAGTCTCTCGGCTGAGAGATTGTGTGCCTGTATCACAATACAGAGAAAATACGCGTTAGAAATTAGTGCAATTCATGCATACAAGGCTCGGACTTGTTAGCCTCGAGAACGAGAAGTGTTTTTAGTTTTAAACCGTGAGTGTGTATGAATAAACCCTTGTTAGAACAATCGCGCACAGCGTTGCGTACCATTTAAATGGTGTTCTCGTGAAAGAAGTCGAATCTGTTCGTCGACTAAAGTAACGTTTATACGAAAGTATCGCGGTGAAGTTGTGCCAAAATTAGTGCGTCGCATACGACTGTATGTATTCGCGTTCGTAACACGACAATGGTTTTCGATAAGCCTGCACGATCAGCAAATTGTCGAAAAGTACCGGGCGAGAAAAATTGACGGATTTATTTATGTTTATCTGTGACAAATGGATGTAAAAACATAAATTTATATATTTGCTTCAGGTATTATTAAATAAGTATTTTACATCTGACATCTAAGAGAAATTTATCAATATCAACACCAATCCTTGCTTTATGTTTGTTATTTTTAACTGTCATTTTTAATTCCATACAAGAAGAGTACATGCATTCAAAAATTGCTCTTTTATATTTTTCATAATAATTCATAATTCTATTATAAATTATTAAGAAATTATTCATTCGCGCGCGATACATTTTGACTTTTTTAATGGTTTTTTTATTATACATGCATCGTATGTTCTCTGATTACATTTCCTGTATCCATTATTGACTTGCATGATTCAAGAAATATGAAAGCTCGCACAGAAACACGGAATATTTATATCTTTGCTTTTGTAATCGACCAATCTGAATGGGTGATAAAATATCACGTAGATTCAACAATCAGATTTCCCTTCGGCTATTCTCCTTCTTCTCGGACAAGTATCTCTCGCTTAGATAACGTGCGTTGGTGTCCGAGGAAAGCGTATTCCAATTCACAAAGTACTTATTCGTAAGTTCAACAAGCGCATCGATTTCTCTTATCTAAATCTCTCATGTTCAAAGTGTCCTATACTGTCGGTGTCTTATCTCGAAGAATTTTACGATTCAAGTAGTTTTCTCTGGACCTCTCGCTTCTTCCTTGAGAACGCTTCCGAGTTCAGGGGTCGTCACGGCGTACTCGTCCCTTTTATCAAACGACCCGCAGTGGTGCTTCACTCGAAGGGAGAAGCATCTTGGGACTAATACAGCCGCGAACCAACGCCGATTCGCCTCGGAACATCCGACGAGAGCCGAAAGATATTCTTAATCCCTCTCGGGGCGCGCAGTCAGTCGGTATATATCCACGGCGAGACCAAACTATTCCATGAAGAATGTAAGAGGAACAAATAGAGCCGACTAGCAGCCGGGACGGGCTGCGATGCAGCTGTTGACGTCTAAACGGCCGCCTCTACGGATGGTAAAACCCAGAGAAAACTTCGTTCGGCGAGCTACGAAGGCGAGTAACAAAGACGTCCGGACGTGGTGGAAAAAGTGTCTGCGCGAAAGGATCGTGGATGGAATATGTCTGTCTACGGCAACAATTAATTTTCCTAATTTCGCGTCTCAATATTCGCATTCTCTCTCCGTATTCTCCGACGAGTTTCAACCTCGTGATATAAATTTATAAGGAGTATTCGCACTCTCCCCAGTAATTCATAGTCGATTTTTCCCTCAGCGCGAATTTAATCTAAGACCTAATTATCGCGCTATTTAACGTTGAAAATTAAAGCGCCCCAGTAAATTAAATGTCAGGAGCGTAAATGAATAATAGGACTTAGTAGTTACCTTTCAATTAATTTAGAGCTAAATGTCAATGTGATTAAAATTCAATTTATTAAGACAATTACTGAGTAATTTAAAAATTAAACAATTGACTAGATAATACAAATAAAATAATCAAAAAGTTATTTTAACTGACTGAAAAGCGGTGTGTCTCATTTACGTTTTTTTTACAAGGAAATCATTCAAAAAACTTTTTATCACACACACAATAGATACATATTTTTCTGAGAATATCTGTGAATCATATCTGATTTTTATTTGATATTTCCTAATTTTCGTTCAGATAAAACATTCTGAGTTCTTCGTCAATATTTGTGCAGTGATACATACGTCGTGTGCCTTTGGTTATCTTGTATAGATAAAATAAGAAAACGTTTACTCATTGTCGCTTTCTCTCTCTTGTGTTAGAAAGGTACGTGAATTATTGCGTACAATTAAAAATTTTAAAGACTACAGAAAACTTCAACGTTTTAGCAAAGAAAATAATATTTAATGACACGCGAACACGCGATACGCGGATATTCACTGGTAATTGAATATCTTATCTATGCGAGGACAGAACGAAACTTTTTATGTTCCCGTAATTTTTCTACCGAAGTCACGATTTTTCCCAAGTTTTATCACGCGGTACTTTGTCGACAGGTTAAAGAGCGATACCAAGACGTGTGCTATACGAAAGCAGCAGCCCGCCCGCTATCGTACACCGATTCGCGGAATTGTTTATGGCCAGCCATTTTTCAGATAAGAGTGTCATTTTTCTCGAGACCGGCTGCTCGTCGTGGAAAGTCAAGAGAGATGGCCGAACGAGTTTTCAACTAGATGCAATTTGTTGCTTTCTCTTCCTTCTTCGATATCCGCTCCCGGCAGACGATATCCTGACTTGAATTTATAGATACTTACATATTATTTAATTTATGATCAGCTATGAATAGCCGAATCTATTCAGAAGAAAAATATAAGTGCCAATATATCTATATTTAAAAATATGCGGAATAATAGAATCTTCTTCGAGAAAACATGCAATGTTGTGAAATACGTTCTTGAATTTCACTCAAAGCTTATTACAACAATTCTCTTTCTCTCAATAGCTAGAGATGATACAGTTTGAAAAGTTACAGGAAAAATATCCGTTGTCTTATAAAAACGTGACAACTGAACAATAAAGTACATTCTCTTATATTATATCAGGCAACGAAAATGGGGCCGCAGTCGAAATTATAGCGTTTCCAATTTTCAATTTTCTCGAAATCGAATCTTGGAATTTCTAACGATGGATTGTCCCGAAAGGCTGTGAAGCAGAATAGGTATCCGTAGCGGAAGTGGATGAGATCAGGGCGGCTGTGATCCAGCGTGCTCTCTCGCACGGGAGAACATAATCCGCCAAGCCAGATCGGCCAGGCAGCGGGCAGCTCTATCAGGTTTCATCAGCGAGCCAATCATCTCATCACTCGGATGGCCGTGCTAGCATCCGATTCGTCGTGCTCTAACCCGTTTCTCTGGTCCCTGACCTAATCCCTTGTGTCAGGAGATACTGGGAAAATCGATCGAGGATCGCCTACGAACATCTCGCCGGCGGCTGGCACGACTGGGTTATCGAAGTACCGAAATCATGGGCCGATCTGGGGCTTACCCTAAGCCGAAGCTTAGATCGTAAATGGATTTTCCATCTCATGACTCTATCTCTATTTCTCTTCCTCCCCCCCTCTTTCTTTCTCTGTCATTGTATCCGCAATCGGAGAAAATAGCGTACGTATATAATGTGTCAAACTATTGTAATTATCGTAAAACTCTCCGCAACACACATTAGAAGGAATGATACCATCAACATGTGCGACACGAAAAGCGATTCAAACTCGTATTTGTCAGTCATATTAAATCAGTCACTGACGTAATCGTTTTTCATCCCAAGTTACGGCCTAAAATTCGCCGGCGATATAACACAAATGTTACGATACGGTCATGATTGTTTATATAATTTAGTGAAGAGAGAAAAAATATTCATCTCGATTAAAACGGAAAAATACGGGTAAACGGTGAATACGTATATGTACATTAGCCAACAGTTTACACATTGCATAAATGTGCAACATGCAATTTATTTATCTACATATCATTCGATATGTTTACAGCATATATTTTCGAACACTCAAGTGAAATAATATTATCCCTCTTTTTGATCGATCGAAATGAAACGTGTTTCATCCGTGTTTCCATTTCCCAGTGACGATATACCGGGTGGCGTGTCCTTAATATACGCCATCTGCGTCTTACGATCCGGTGTGTCACCTGTCGCAACGATATTGCATCCGGACATCTAATGGACCTTTAAACTGAACGTCTCTCTATATAAGCTAACGTGTGTCATCGACCTCTCTTCGAGATATTCCACGAACAAGTTGCTCGCAGAAAACGAGATACTTCTTAAGGAAGCAAAAGAACAGAAAAATCCCGAGAAGAGCTGGCAGTCGCAACTTTGAGAGAATTAATAGTAAATCTGAAAGACAACAGGAAAAAGATCTCTCTTCACGATCGTCTCTCTCGGTATTACATCTTCGCACTTTGAGCTCGAAAAATACGAAAGAGAAAAACGGTTTCCATTTGAGATAATGCTATTTCTTTTTTAGAAAATTCGGGTCACGGGAGAACCATCTGTAGCGATCTCTGGTGAATGCAAGTTCGACGACGTACGAGGATCGCTTTCGGTTCTTTTGGATATTCATGGAACGTCGGATAAATCTTTAAATATTTTAAGGATTTACTGGAAAACCATAGACGCGTACTTATTATTCTAAGAAGCTTTTTCGAGAAGAACGTTATCGCATGACCCCAGGGCTTCGGCCACGACGTATCATACAGGGTGTATCCATGAAGTCGCGGAGCGTTTGTCACGTGTTGAATCTCGGGGTTTCTCGCATGCACACGAGAAAAACGAAAATACGAGAGACAAGAAACAGGATGTCGCGGCAGACGCCGCGAATACACACAGCGGACGCGTAGAGCGCGCGCGGAAACCGCCGCCGTGATAATTATAAATATGAACCAGAAAGTGCATTCCGTTCGAGGCGCTTCGTGCTCCAGAAATAATGCGATTCACCGGGCGCGCGTAAATTCGCGTCGAGACATCGCTTAAGAAATGAATGCTTCGCGGATGTAACAATATTGCGCTCGCGGCTGCAAAGACAGTGATGTATTACTCTCTAAATCTGAATCAGTGGATAGTCACTAATTATCCATACTTGGCACTGATAATCAGTGAAGTTCAATTAAAAAAGGAAGAATGTTCGAGCACTATATAACTAAAATACTGATATTTGCATGTTAATTTCAATCTTTCAATTCCATATTTATTGAATTTATGCACTAAAACAAGGTTGGTTAGATCACATAACAAAGATCAGCTAAGTTAGGGATCTCACATTTCATTCACTGATTACCAGTGGCATACTTGGCACTGATACATATCAGTGATTATCCACTGATTCAGATTTAGAAAGTAAGCAAACATGAAAGACGTTTTTTCTTCCACAGAATTAAGATTGATTCGAAATTTTTTTGAATTTGGATTAAAGTTTTATATATATCAACTAAAAATAAAACTGTGTGACGTACA